GAGGGAGCTGCAATCCAGGTGTGATAGGCAGGGTACTCTAGAGAAGCAGAACCAGGATACTTATGACTGTATCTATGTAAAAGATAGGTCCAAGGTCAAGGAAGCAGGCAATGGAGACTTCCCTCAGGCAAAACGGACAGAGGCTGCCTGCAGGTAGCACACAGCAAGGTGGGTCTACAACAGTAAGCACAGGAGCTTAGCAAAGTAGGCCCAGATGAGATATTGAACTCAAGCAATGCAAGGCAACAAGATCCACCAGCCTCATGCTCAAGGGATGCATGTACCAGCAGCATGGTGAAGCAGGTCTCAAAGGAGCCTCATGCTCCAGCACCATGATTCACAGGTTGCCTTGGCCCCAGGTAGTGTAGCACACAGATTGAGGCAGAGAACTAGCTAAAGCAGCAGCACATTGGTATCATCACCAGAGAACACGAGAGACATGGGCAGACCTTGTAGAGTCATTTATCTCTTTGCCATCCAATCAAACTTTGACCTGATTAACCTCTGCCCATATTTTCCTAATGGCCAGTTTGGTACAATAAACCTCACTATCACACCAGGCTTTCTTTTAAAGAAAAGATATAGAGTAGGTGAGAGATTTTACTTTCTGCTGGCCCGTCTACACTCAAAGACATGAGAGCAGAATGAGAAAGAGAATGGCAACATGAATAGTTTGTTATTTTCTGTTCACCTTGGACGAATTTTAAAGATTGTTTTCCTGAAATCATGGCTTTATTACCAGATTTATGTGCAAGCATGAACCAAGCCAAACCCAGAGCAATCAAGTTGATTCTGACTCATAGTGTCCCTATATAGTAATTTCAAAAGTGTAAATCTTTACAGAAGCAGGTAGTCTCATCTTCCACTGTTGAACTGAGGATTTATACTGCTGCCCTGTTTGTTAGCAGCCCAATGTGTAACCCATTAGGCTACCAGAATCCCTACATATCATACAGGGATACATATTTACATACAACACTTTGCCAAACCTAAATGACAGAGTTATATGAATTTACCAATCTGGATGTATAGTATTAAGAGAGGCTATAGGTTATAATATAGGATAGGGTTGTTATGACTTAACATCAAGTTGATAGTAGTGAGTTTATAGTACAGGCAATCATTTGTTCGAAATATATATGCTTTCCTATCAAAAATATCTGGAAAATCCATGAGTCCTTTTAACCACCTTTGTGGACACATTAATATACCTCTCTGAATTGTAGAGACAATTAGGGAACATATATATATATATGGTTATATTTTCAAGATTCAGTTAAGGAAAGTTGTGTTGAAGAAGGAGAAAAGGGGGTTGGGGAAGATATACTATTTTGTTCACTCAGTATTTCTAACACAAAGTACTATATACCACTAGTGTTAGTGTTACAAATTATTTGTTACAAATAATAGTGTTAGTGTTACAAATAAATTATAGTGTTACAAATTATAATGTTAGTGTTACAAATTATGTTGATTTTCCATCAACATATTTTAAATCTAAAGCAGGAATATTTTAAATAAGCACACAGGAAAAATGATTCTGTATAAATATACAGTAATTAGAAAAGAGCTAATATTTATTATAGAAAAAAGATAGAGCTTATAATTTTCATTTCAGCTTAATTCTTCTATATAGAAAAATTAGAGATATTTCAAAACACTTTATTTTAAATAATGGATTTATTTAAATATTTAAG